ACGTATAATTTTAAATTAAATTTCGAAATTGAGTTAGTGCTAATTTTTAGCAATTTTTTTCAATAAGGAACAGTTAGAGATTTTCGAGTGGAGGAACGATCGGGGGTTAGATTTACTCACAATGTGCGCAAATTAATTTTACAAATACGAGTCCCTTGTTTCTATAGCTCGACAAGTCGATAGCAATTAATTTCCCTAACTTTTGGCAATTTTTCGATAAGGAACAGTAAAAGATTTTTGCGAGAAGGAACGTTCTCGACGAGGTTATCAAATATGCTGCCCGGGGGTGTGAAGACGCTTTGATCACCCCCTCCTTACAGAAGGAGCAGAGTTTCGAGTTCTCGGTTTGCTCTCTCGCGATGTTTACTTTAAGGGATGCCACTAGCTACCAGCATCTTTCGGTAGCTAGAAGGAAGAAGGACTGTACTTCTCCTCCTTATATATATATATTGCAAGGGAATCGCTCTTTTGTTTCACTCTGTCGTCGACGAACGAGGAGGACAGAGCTGTTTTCATTACACTAGGGTAGTTTCACAGCTGGATCGTTTCTACGATCAAAGGAGACATTGACTTTGTTTATTAACCGTCACGACCCTTTGGCTCTGCTTTAAAGTAATTAACGGGAATATGTGCGAAACACATTGAGGAAATCACAGCGTAATTTCAGCTACAAAGGAACGTTAAGGGTGATAACGCAAATTCTATAATACCGAGTGCTTTATGGCATAGACTTTGCGGTGCAGAGGAAATTAATACTAGAACTGTCGACTGTATTAAAGTGCAAGAAAAAGAGTTAATAATATAGTGAAGAAGACAGTTTATTAATATATATAAACATATATGTATAAACATACGCATTCATATACATATACTTATATATATATATATATATAATATACTTATATATATATATATATACTTCATATAAATATACACATACATATACATATACTTATATATATATATATACTTCATATAAATATACACATACATATACATATATTTCTCTTAATATATTTTATTAAAAATCACTCGAGTATTTGAAACTATACTGTTATAAATGTACACATAAAATTTACAAAAAATTGGAAAATTATAAATTTTGACCATTTTGTACATTTATCGTATCATTCAATATAAATACACACCAATAAATATTTCTACAGAGATTTTAAGACTTGTCTATACTTAGTATATCAATTTAAGTCTCGCTAGCAGTATGGTAAGCTAATTACAATAGTGAAATTATTCATTAACTATAAGGTAGAATCGCAGTTTATAGTAAATGATATTATCATTCAATACACACCAATAAATATTTCTACAGAGGTTTTAAGACTTGTCTATACTTAGTACGTCAATTTAAGTCTCGCTAGTAGTATGGTAGGCTAATTACAATAGTTAAATTATTCGTCAACTATAAGATAGTATCGCAGTTAGAACCTTTTTATTTGAATATCTACAATAATATTTACTCTATACTTACTCATATCAATTTAAGCCTCGCTAGCAGTATGGCAGGCTAATTACAATAGTGAAATTATTCGTTAACTATAAGATAGAATCACAGTTGATGGTAAGTGATAGTATCATTCAATATAAATACACACCAATAAATATTTCTACAGAGGTTTTAAGACTTGTCTATACTTAGTATATCAATTTAAGTCTCGCTAGCAGTATGGCAGGCTAATTACAATAGTGAAATTATTCGTCAACTATAAGATAGTATCGCAGTTAGAACCTTTTTATTTGAATATCTACAATAATATTTACTCTATACTTACTCATATTAATTTAAGCCTCGCTAGCAGTATGGCAGGCTAATTACAATAGTGAAATTATTCGTTAACTATAAGATAGAATCGCAGTTATAATCTTTTTATTTGAATATCTACAATAATATTTGTCAATACAAGTTTAGGTTCGGTATTTTCTCTTCAATTTTAGTTTCAATATTTTCTCTTCAATTCGGATGATCCTTTATTTTCAAGTGAAATTTCACGTTCGAAGTTTATTCCGAGTGCCGTGAGAAAAATATGCGATCACGCTTCGGTGATCGACGATGGGATTACACGGCAAGGTACACAGGTGT